GTGGATATTAAATTTCATTTTCCGCTCCCTAGGGAGTACACATATTATTGTTGAAAAAACGTTTCGCCATAGCAGTGTTAAGTTGATCCTGGACAAAAACTCTTCTGTTTTGCGGACAATACAACCATGACAGGACCACAGACATCCATTAGCATCGTGTATCATTTGTCTGTCACGTGTTACCCAATTGTGTCGTATTTACGAGGTTTGTACCACATAAAGTGCAAGTGTTTGAGACCGCGTGTCAAGTCGCAAGGAGCAGCGAAGCAAGTGACTGTCAACACCACCCCAAGCCGCAACCTGGCTTTGGGCGAAACATGGGACAGATGTACAGTCTCTCTGGACCAGAATTACACATAGCAGTATAAGGATGTCCTAATCATGAGATTGTCACTTCTTGTGTTCTGGTGTGTACTGATGTCTGGAAGAAGGAGCACTCAGACCCCCCTCCCCACCACCACCCCCGGGTCTTGTCCTCACGGGGGCACGCACCTCCCACAGTTCAAATCTCCCTCTCTCCAGCCTTTGTTCCCCGCTCTCCAATTTGCCTCCTCGTGCAAGAGAGTATTTTTCGAACGTGAACGCTGACAGAGGCACTAGCTCTCACTCGTGCCTAGGTAAATGTTATTACGAGCTCTTGAGGTCCCGGGTGTTTAACTTCTTCAGAAAAGCCCGCAAATTCCGTCCTGTAGCACATCTCATTATGCAAGCCTGTGCAATTAGCTGTTGAGGGCGGGGCCTCAGGAAGACGCTCTCCTCAGCTGCTCAAATAGCAGAACCACCCACCACACACGCTCACAATACAACATATTTGCCGTAGCTTAGATACCCTCCTGAATTTTGCAACATATTCAACGAGAAATGATATATCATATCAGGAAAACTGTGTGTGGGTTTGGGGGACTGCTTGGTGGGTAGGGGGAGTGACTCTAGGAGACAGGCAGGAGTAGACTGTGGGGTGGGGGAGGTATGTGTAGTGGGTATGTTGGTGGTATTTTGGAGGAGATGTTCAACGTCACTTGCTATAAATACACAGACAGACTTAAGTTGTGTGTCAGGTCAACGGGTTATTTGACGAAATGGAATATAAAATATTTGGATTGTGTCGGACATGCTATTGTAAGAAAGTGAGTTGTGTGTGAGACCCAGTGAATGTCACAAAAAATAGACATAGTTTCGGAGATCTGAACAAGGCGAGGATCTACAGAAAGGCTACAAATTGTGGATTCGCTTCATAAAGTTCATTTCCTTGCTTTCAAGTAATACACTTGTATCTGGCGGACTGATATAAAGTCTTATAATGTGGATATGCTTCATCTTCAGATAATTGGTGAATCAATTTGAATATCTGTAAGTAAAAATACACCAGCAAACAACATGATATTGGATCAATGTTGGCCCAACATCACGCTTAGTGTTAGTCTAATGTTGGAGTAGGAGGCGACTAACGGGACAGGGTGGTCAGGCCTGCTGGCTTGGTTGATGAATGTCATCGATCCCAACAGCGTGGATCGAAGCTCATGGTATTAATCACTGGATTGTCTGGTCCTGACTCGATTATTTACAGACCGACGTCATAAAGCTGGGATATTGCTGAGTGCGGCGTTAAACAACAAACCACCCAATCCAATGTTGGAAGATGATATTGGTCCAATATAAGTTTTGCACCTTGGGCAAATTTTGGCAATACTTCATTAGTCCAACATTGTATCAACATTGTGCCAATGTCTTCCAGTGTATAAGTGAGCAATATCACGGCGGGGGACACCAGAAATGGGCTTCACAAATCGTACCCATGTCGGGAATCGAACCTGGGTCTTCGGCGTGACATTCAACAATCCAGTTTTTGCCTCATATGTTAATTTATTCAGCTGCATGTATAGGCAATGTAAACAAAAATATCTACTACAGGGGAGGCAACTCTATCTGTTAAATGCCTGCAGCTGCAAAACGTAACAACTGGTATTGATGGTGCCAGTACTGTAGTAACATTATTTGAGAAAATGTTACTAAATCATGGAACTATAGTCTAGCTTGTGGCAATCACATATTTCAATCTACTTAATAAAGATTTCTACGTTGAACAAAGTTCAAATAATTGTTTTACTGTGAGCCGGATATAAAAGCCTTACTTAAACCAATTTGTGAATATATATAGCTGAAATTGAATCAGTTGTTATTGATAATTCGTTAAACTTTCTCTTTTTATCTTTCTTTAAACCAAGAGATCAGAAACTATCCAGATCATTTTCTTAGAAAAAAAAGCTCGAGTAACTAACAAGTGTATTTCTAACAAAGGTTTGTTCACTACAAAGTAGTGGGCACACACGTCCTGCGTCAATTGGTTGTACAGAAGAATAAGAGGACAGTTAATGTTATTAATCAAACTCAGTTTGGTAGTTGGTAATTTTTCAAAGTATTATTAAATAGAATATAAATGTTTAGACTATAGAAGTTCATATACTATGTTGGCACAATGTTGGCCCAATATCAGCATGCCCAACGCGAAATGCCTACATCCTGGTGCGGTGAAGTGAGGTGAGGTAAGGTGAGGTGAGGTTTAACGTCATTTTTAAGGATATATATATATCGAATTCTGTCCACATCAACAATCTCAGTGAAGAATCAAGAGACGCATTCCCCATCCACATCAACAATCTTAGTGAAGAATCAAGTGACGCATTCCCCATCCACATCAACAATCTCAGTGAAGAATGAAGAGACGCATTCCCCATCCACATCAACAATCTCAGTGAAGAATGGAGAGACACATTCCCCATCCACATCAACAATCCCAGTGAAGAATCAAGAGACGCATTCCCCATCCTCATCAACAATCTCAGTGAAGAATCAAGAGACGCATTCCCCATCCACATCAACAATCTCAGTGAAGAATCAAGATACGCATTCCCCATCCACATCAACAACCTCAGTGAAGAATGAAGAGACACATTCCCCATCCACATCAACAATCTTAGTGAAGAATCAAGAGACACATTCCCCATTAACATGAACAATCTCAGTGAAGAATCAAGGTACACATTCCCCATCCACATCAACTGTCTCAGTGCGCCATTCCGCTTGTAACGCATTGGCCAGTTGTGCAAGTGTCTGCGGCGTGTTCTGAGGTTGACGTAAACGGCTCATCCCGGAGGTGTTCGATTGGGTTGTGATCTGGAGATCTCGATGGGGAGGGCATGACGTTGATGTTGGCATTATGAAGGTAGTCTATCGTGACACGAGATGTGTGCGTTGGAGCGTTGTCCTGTTGAAACAGCTCCCTCTGGTGGTCAATGATTGGAAGAAGGTGAGGTTGAAGAATTTGACAACCAAGTCAGATCTCGTGGTGTAGGATATGGCCCCTACACCATGATACTACCGCCAATGGGATGTCCTCAGATCTTTGTTCAGCGATAGCGAGAACTAAGATTAGATTTTAATGAGATTGAAAATATTTAAGCATTTTCGTCATTTTACACATTGACTGTGACATTATACTACATGCCTCCATTACTTGGTGAATATAAAGTGACGATGTGTGAATCAGTTACAGTCATGAGGGTTGTAGCGGCATTGAAAAATAGCATAAGGCATCCAATTTCTATATTTTTAACAAGTCCGACAAACGAGACTTAAGCTGCCGATTTGTAATTCAAGTAAGAAACATTCAAAATTAATATATTCTGTTCTAATATACAAGACGGGTTGTGTGTGAATGTTGGTTTACAGTCGCAGGTAGTGGTAGACTTGAAGCCATCTCACAGTGGCCCCTAAATAATTCACCAGTAAACCAGTGGCCGATAGCATGAACAACGATCTACGCCGTCGGGGTACAATGTCGTACAACGAGGCCACACATGACAGTCACTCAAATGCATCCTCGATTACGTAGTCGTGTATCATTTCTCCATTCTATTTCGACAGAGATCCTGGATCCATTTGCCACCAAGACTTCGTTTCGAAATCACTGTCTCCACCTCACTTGTCACCAACTTAGCACAGAATGTGTCTCTTTTATGGTGGGAATAGATCTAATTTCAAATTTGCGGCCTCCTATACGAGCAAGCCATCGATCCACTTAATCGAATAAAAAGACTGTTATATAAATGTTTAAGATGGAAATCTCTTTTGTTTCTGAAGACCACCTCCGTGGTCTAGTGGTAGAGCGTCCGCCCAGAGAGCGGAAGGTTCGGGGTTCGATCCCCGGCCGCGTCATACCGAAAGACGTTAAAAGATGGTACTTGTTGTTACCCTGTCTGGTGCTCGGCATTAAGGGTCTAAAACAAAAACTAGTCGGCTCGGAGTCAGTATACTGTGTCTAAGTGGGGTATTCATGTTAAACTGCGGCATGGTATATCAGTGAGCTAGCACTATAAATCGGCATCATTTCGGACTAGTACAAGCAGCCACACCCACCCACATACACGTGCATGCACGTCGCTATATAAGTGCCATAATCTTGGACGCGACGTTAAACCCAATTTCACCTCACCTTGTTTCTGAGTATTAAGACGTGAGAAAGGGTCGTTCTTGTGCTTGGGGATTTTCTCGGTTGTAGTTGAGGTGATGCGCAACAAACTGAGTGGAATACTGGTGTGATCTCTGTTTGTTTCAGCTGTGAAAGATCAGGGTAATTTGCTAGGACGGCTGTGTTTTAGGTCCGGGCTCAAAGGGGATATAATAATTATATAGATTATGAAAATCTAGGATAACAGTTCGGCTGCTCGCACACTGGGTTGGCTCATTCATCAATCTACGTAATATTGGAGTGGGACGAGCAGAGAGCTGTCGCTCGCTGCTTTCGGGTTCACAAACACGTGACGTCACAATTGAATTATGGTCATAATCACTATGACGTCACAGTTGGAAATGATCTTATGATGACCTAAGACCATGAGGTTGAGTCTGTGTGTCACGTGACGTTATTGTTGTCTATCTGCCTAGCTACACAGCCGCCTTCAACTGACTGTCGCTATTTTGTCAGTGTGTATTTCCCCGAGATGCCAGGCCAGACTGTACAGGTCGTGTTTCAGGTCTACGGCCTGCCCCCTGGTGTGAAGGCCGCGATGAGAGCGGATAGCCGGGTTAAACTCGGAGTTCTGGGTTCAATCACCGAACTTGGTTCATCGAACATCCCTCAGACGCTGACTGCCGGGCCGTCGGAGACAGAGCAGAACGTGTGAAAGGTGACGAGTTACCTGCCCATATCGGCCACGTTCACGTGGTCGTAGATGGTGACAACGCATGATGCACAGGTTTTGTACTGGGACCCTGCTAGAAACAGACAGTGAGTTTCCATACCCTCGTTATAAGCATGCACCATTCTCCACCCAAGTATACGTGAGATTTGTGATGTGATCAATTGGGTATACTGTGTCAACTCCATTCCTCAAGTCCATGGATACAATATGTCCGTTTTTCTTTCCTACCCCTTTTATTTCGAGGGGGCACGGGTGTCCCAGTCGTCTAAGGCGCCGCAATTCGCTGTGCAGAGTTGCGTCGCTTGGGCACGCAAGAAACTTATGATTGTGGGTTCGAATCCCGGTTCGCAACGATTATGTTTCTAGGTTTGTCAGCACCATACCCGTGCTCGTGGGTTTCACCGAAGTGGTAAACGTCTGAGACCTGCATCACTTCGGGCTTTCCTCCCACATTAAGCTGACACGCCGTGATATAACTGTAATACTGTTAAAAGCGGCGTTAAACCCAACTCACTCACTCACTCACTCACTTTTATTTCGAAATCATCCGCGATGTGTACAAATACATTTACATATCCACGTAAACATAGGGACTACAGAGTGTTTGAAACATACATGTATGTCAATTACTTTCCTGTAATGCGCTCTGGATCTTGTGAGTAACATTTCCATATATGTTCCTGTGACCAGTATAAGTGAATACAGTTTCATTCAAGTAAAAATACCCGTTTCCTCTCTCGTCAGTAACATTTTTCACTGAGTTTTGTGAACGTATCCCTGCGTATCCTGCTTCCTACAGCCGTTGAAAGATTTGAATTCCGTGGAACATTTCATTTAGGGGAATATTTCATATATGTTATCAGGTAAACTGAAAAATACAATAATCAACGACTCGTGAAGACTCGTGTAGAGAATAGGTCTTCAGCAACCCATGCTTGCCGTAAGAGGCGACTATGCTTGTCGTAAGAGGCGACTAAAGAGATCAGGTGGTCAGGCTCGCTGACTTGGTTGACGGATGACATCGTATCTCAATTGCGTAGATCGATGTTCATGGTGTCAATCACTGGATTGTCTGGTCCAGACTCGATTATTTACAGACCGCCGTCATACAGCTGGAATATTGCTGAGTCCGGCGTTAAGCAACAAACAAACAACAAAACAATAATCAACAAATGAGTTGAGGTGAAATGGGGAATGGATTTCTATAGCGACGTGCATGCATTTATACTCTATTTCATACACGGATCCTTCAATGTTGTAATTGATTTACCCAGTGTAGACTTGGGGGATAATAATGTAACTATCTTAACTTGATCTTTCAAAAAGTTAACAAGACTTTATCTCGTATGATAAATAACATTTATCGGTCCAAATCTAGATCCAAGGTTTAGTTGTGTAATTGCCTCAGCTTCCTCAGACAGAGCTGATTGTGCGGACACATTCGTTCCCAAGGAATAATGTCTGACTGGTGTATATGTGAACTTAACTGTTGCAGGACAAATCTGAACTTCTTCAACGGCACTATGGTCCGATGGGGTCTTAAACACTCTCAGTTCATCTCCCGCACATGCCGAGCAGACATTCGCACTCGATACCAGTGTCAGCCAGGAGAGGTGTTGGCTGTGGCAGGTTCTGAGGCCCGTCTCGGGTCCTGGGAGCCAAAGAACGCCATCCGCGCCAGAGAGAAGCCGTATAAGTCCGGGTGCTGGATTGCTCACACTGTTCTGGACTGTTCTGTCAACTACCACTGGAAGTGGGTGGTTCTGGACGCGGAGACTGGAGCCGTCAGACGCTGGGAGGAGCGCCGGAACCGTCATCCGAAGACTAACTGTGAGCGGCTGGTGGTGGACGCCAGGTGGAACTGCGAGTCCCTCATCCAACACCGTGTCCCTGTTTCCATGTACAGAGACGTCGACATGACCAAAGTGAACATCGCCAACTACAGCCAGATGACCTGCAATGCGCCTCAGGATGTAGCAACCAAATGGATCGCAAATGCTAATGTCGAAAACAAGTATTTTGCAGGTGATTGACTTTCTGCTTCTTCAGCTGTCAATACTAGCAAATTTGATTCAAGTCGATCAATCGCTAACTGACATTTAATGATTTCCATCCAGCAAGCAGTTAAGGATAAGTATGATTACTTAGAGACAGTGTCTCAGTTATACACTTGATACTACTCACAACGTATAGATCGAGGCTTAAATTTGGCACCATAATATCCTGGAGCATGCTTTGTATTTTCCAGGGATCGGGGAATATTTATGACTTTTATTAAATGAAATAGCGATGTTCAATGGACAAACTGGATTGATCTATTGACTTGTCTGTTTACAAAAAATACCACAATCATGTTATATTTCATGCACACATTTGCTTCAGTTACCGAGATGGAAGAAGCAGCCATGGCCAACCCGGCTCCAGTATTACCTTCATCCCACGAAACAAAGAAAACAACATGGCGCTCACTGTCCCGCCAACTTCCGGCGCTGGTGCCCTTCTTGTGGTTTGTGATGATTGGGGCAACTGAGTGGGCTGCCCACATGATATAGATTGAGGGGTTGGGGGTGTTGGGTGGGGTGGCGGGCGGGCGTCGTAGGGGTGAAAATGATCATGCGTGCACCCTTCATGCCCAGGCGAATGAATAACAAAAGTTGGTGCAGAATTTCAAGAGGGATACGATGACCAAATGGCGAACACTTCCGCATTCGTGTCTCATAAGCATTTTAACTTTGCAGTTGTATGTAATGCTCGCTGGCAAACTGAATGTAAAAATAATAACGAAAACAAAAATAAATCGTTAAATAGGTAACATAAAAAACAGTTTTTGCATAAAATGAAACAAAATATATAACATAAAAAACTGATAACAATACACCAGAGACCATGGAGTTAAAAATATTTACCAAATTATATCATGCGATATCACGTCACACCATCACCCTCACTACTTTATCACGTTAACCCATCACCCTCTCTACTGTATCACGTCACACCATCACCCTCTCTACTGTACTACATACCACCATCACCCTCTCTACTGTACTACATACCACCATCACCCTCTCAACTGTACTACATACCACCATCACCCTCTCTACTGTACTACATACCACCATCACCCTCTCAACTGTACTACATACCACCATCACCCTCTCAACTGTACTACATACCAGCATCACCCTCTCAACTGTACTACATACCACCACCACCCTCTCTACTGTACTACATACCACCATCACACTCACTACTGTACCACGTCACACCATCACCATCACTACTGTACCACGTCACACCATCACCCTCTCTACTGTACCACGTCACACCATCACCATCACTACTGTACAACGTCACACCATCACCATCACTACTGGACAACGTCACACCATCACCCTCACTACTATACCACGTCACACCATCACCCTCACTACTGTACAACGTCACACCTTCACCATCACTACTGTACAACGTCACACCATCACCATCACTACTGTATCACGTCACACCATCACCCTCTCTACTGTACCAGGTCACACCATCACTCTCACTACTGGACAACGTCACACCATCACCCTCACTACTGTATCACGTCGCACCATCACCCCCTCTACTGCACAACGTCACACCATCACCATCACTACTGTACAACGTCACACCATCACCCTCACTACTGTACCACGTCACACCATCACCCTCACTACTGTACCACGTCACACCATCACCCTCTCTACTGTACAACGTCACACCATCGCCATCACTACTGTACAACGTCACACCATCACCATCACTACTGTATCACGTCACACCATCACCCTCTCTACTGTACCAGGTCACACCATCACCCTCACTACTGGACAACGTCACACCAACACCCTCTCTACTGTATCACGTCACACCATCACCCTCTCTACTGTACCACGTCACACCATCACCATCACTACTGTACAACGTCACACCATCACCATCACTACTGTACAACGTCACACCATCACCCTCACTACTGGACAACGTCACACCATCACCCTCTCTACTGTACCACGTCACACCATCACCATCACTACTGTACAACGTCACACCATCACCATCACTACTGTACAACGTCACACCATCACCCTCACTACCGGACAACGTCACACCATCACCCTCTCTACTGTACCACGTCACACCATCACCATCACTACTGTACAACGTCACACCATCACCATCACTACTGTACAACGTCACACCATCACCATCACTACTGTATCACGTCACACCATCACCCTCTCTACTGTACCAGGTCACACCATCACCCTCACTACTGGACAACGTCACACCATCACCCTCACTACTGTATCACGTCACACCATCACCCTCACTACTGGACAACGTCACACCATCACCCTCACTACTGTATCACGTCACACCATCACCATCACTACTGGACAACGTCACACCATCACCATCACTACTGTACAACGTCACACCATCACCCTCACTACTGGACCAGGTCACACCATCACCCTCACTACTGGACAACGTCACACCATCACCCTCACTACTGTATCACGTCACACCATCACCCTCACTACTGGACAACGTCACACCATCACCCTCACTACTGGACAACGTCACACCATCACCATCACTACTGTATCACGTCACACCATCACCCTCACTACTGTACAACGTCACACCATCACCCTCACTACTGTATCACGTCACACCATCACCCCCACTACTGTACCACGTTACACCATCACCATCACTACTGGACAACGTCACACCATCGCCCTCACTACTGTACCACGTCACACCATCACCCTCACTACTGTACCACGTCACACCATCACCATCACTACTGTATCACGTCACACCATCACCCTCACTACTGGACAACGTCACACCATCACCATCACTACTGTATCACGTCACACCATCACCCTCACTACTGTACCACATCACACCATCACCCTCACTACTGTAAAACGTCACACCATCACCATCACTACTGGACAACGTCACACCATCACCCTCTCTACTGTATCACGTCACACCATCACCCTCTCTACTGTAAAACGTCACACCATCACCATCACTACTGTACAACGCCACACCATCACCCTCACTACTGTATCACGTCACACCATCACCATCACTACTGTACAACGTCACACCATCACCCTCACTACTGGACAACGTCACACCATCACCCTCACTACTGTATCACGTCACACCATCACCCTCACTACTGGACAACGTCACACCATCACCCTCACTACTGTACCACGTCACACCATCACCCTCACTACTGTAAAACGTCACACCATCACCATCACTACTGGACAACGTCACACCATCACCCTCTCTACTGTATCACGTCACACCATCACCCTCTCTACTGTAAAACGTCACACCATCACCATCACTACTGTATCACGTCACACCATCACCATCACTACTGGACAACGTCACACCATCACCATCACTACTGTACAACGTCACACCATCACCCTCACTACTGTATCACGTCACACCATCACCATCACTACTGTACAACGTCACACCATCACCCTCACTACTGGACAACGTCACACCATCACCCTCACTACTGTATCACGTCACACCATCACCCTCACTACTGGACAACGTCACACCATCACCCTCACTACTGTATCACGTCACACCATCACCCTCACTACTGTACAACGTCACACCATCACCATCACTACTGTATCACGTCACACCATCACCCTCTCTACTGGACAACGTCACACCATCACCATCACTACTGTATCACGTCACACCATCACCCTCACTACTGGACAACGTCACACCATCACCATCACTACTGTATCACGTTACACCATCACCCTCACTACTGTATCACGTCACACCATCACCATCACTACTGTATCACGTCACACCATCACCCTCTCTACTGGACAATGTCACACCATCACCATCACTACTGTATCACGTCACACCATCACCCTCACTACTGGACAACGTCACACCATCACCATCACTACTGTATCACGTCACACCATCACCCTCACTACTGGACAACGTCACACCATCACCATCACTACTGTATCACGTCACACCATCACCCTCACTACTGTACCACGTCACACCATCACCCTCACTACTGTAAAACGTCACACCATCACCATCACTACTGTACCACGTCACACCATCAACCCCACTACTGTATCACGTTACACCATCGCCCTCACTACTGTACCACGTCACACCATCACCCTCACTACTGTACCACGTTACACCATCGCCCTCACTACTGGACCACGTCACACCATCACCCTCACTACTGTATCACGTCACACCATCACCCCCACTACTGTATCACGTTACACCATCGCCCTCACTACTGTACCACGTCACACCATCACCCTCACTACTGTATCACGTCACACCATCACCCCCACTACTGTATCACGTTACACCATCACCCTCACTACTGTATCACGTTACACCATCACCCTCACTACTGTACCACGTCACACGATCGCCCTCACTACTGGACAACGTCACACCATCACCATCACTACTGTACCACATTACACCATCACCCTCACTACTGGACCACGTCACACAATCGCCCTCACTACTGTACCACGTCACACCATCGCCCTCACTACTGTATCACGTCACACCATCACCCTCACTACTGTACCACGTTACACCATCACCCTCACTACTGTATCACGTCACACCATCACCCTCACTACTGGACAACGTCACACCATCACCATCACTACTGTATCACGTCACACCATCACCCTCACTACTGTACCACGTCACACCATCACCCTCACTACTGTACAACGTCACACCATCACCATCACTACTGTACAACGTCACACCATCGCCCCCACTACTGTATCACGTCACACCATCACCCTCTCTACTGTACAACGTCACACCATCACCCTCACTACTGTATCACGTCACACCTTTACCCTCACTACTGTACCACGTCACACCATCACCCTCTCTACTGTATCACGTCACAACATCACCCTCTCTACTGTACCACGTCACACCATCACCCCCACTACTGGACCACGTCACACCATCGCCCTCACTACTGGACAACGTCACACCATCGCCCCCACTACTGGACCACGTCACACCATCACCCTCACTTCTGTATCACGTCACACCATCGCCCCCACTACTGGACCACGTCACACCATCGCCCCCACTACTGGACCACGTCACACCATCGCCCTCACTACTGTATCACGTCACACCATCACCCTCACTACTGGACCACGTCACACCATCACCCTCACTACTGTATCACGTCACACCATCGCCCTCACTACTGGACCACGTCACACCATCACCCTCACTACTGTATCACGTCACACCATCGCCCTCACTACTGGACCACGTTACACCATCACCCTCACTACTGTACCACGTCACACCATCACCCTCACTACTGTATCACGTCACACCATCACCCCCACTACTGGACCACGTCACACCATCGCCCTCACTACTGGACCACGTCACACCATCGCCCTCACTACTGGACCACGTC